TTCAAGCCTGAATTTCATGCTTCTGCCTTTCATGCTTTCAAGTCTTTTATTCATGCTTCTGGCACTGCCTGTTTACTTGTGTGTCTTTCCCGGACTACAAGCTCACTGAGAGCAGGGACCATGTATTGTTCAATGTCTCATTCCCACTGTTTGTGCTCAGTAATTATTTGCTGTGAATTAGTATTTGTTGAATAAACAAAGTTTCAGTGAGATTGAGAGCAGGTTTGGTGAGTCTGAGGGCGTGGGTAGGGTGGGTGGAGCAGGAGAGCCACAGAGCTCAAGCTTCAATGGCAGAGTAAGTAGCTCTGGTGGCTGCAGTGTCCAGGGAGGGGCCACACCAGTGGTTGTTGAAGTAGGGTGGAAGTGAAGGTCACTGGGGCAGAGGAAACAAGGGAACCGTGATCCAATAAAGCAGATGAGTGGCGCTTGTATTGCCCAGGAGAAGTCAGGGTTGGGTGGGGAGGGAAGCTGTGAGTCAGGCTCCGAAGTCCTTTCATAGATGGTCTGATTAAGGCAGGGGGGTGCCTTCATCTTATGTCCCAGCTTCAAAGGGGAAGAGGAAATGAAATGAGCTATGGGAGACTTACAGAGGACCACCGCTGACTCAAGGAGAATGAGCCTCCCTACAACCCTGAGATCTGCGGGCATAGCACAGGGGAATGGAGGGCCTCTGTTTGAGAGGGTTTCAAGATGAAGAGGTGGGGGAATTCTCCAGAAAGTGGTAGTGCCTACCAAAAAATATTAATAGAAAGGGCTTTCCAGAGAGCCCAATAGAAGGGTTTAGAAGGTGTCTCCCCAGTGTAAATTCAAGTGGTCAAATGACATGGTTCCTTCCAGTTTGGTTTCAGAATGTGTTACAAATCCCTGTTCCAGAAATTTCTACTGTCTTGCTGCTACAATTCTAGTTATAGTGGGTTTATCCCAGTTAAAAGATTAATCTGGAATCCTACTCGGACCCTTAAAGCAAAGGAATCAAAGTCCTGCATATGAGATAATCCACCCCCATGCATTCTTTTATTCTGTGGGAAATTGGGCCTGGACTTGTTTTTATGGAATGTTAGTACAATAAAATCCTCTCTTTGGGACTACAGTTAAAAAGAACTCTCATCTTTAAAAAGAAAAAAAAAAGAAAAAGCTGTGTGGGTAAAGTCCATAATGAACAAAGTTTCAAAAGGAGATATTGCCTGCAGTCTCACTTGAGTCTCCCTTGTGAGAGCTGGTCACCTCCCTTCCATCCTTCCACGGTTAGCAGAGGAACAGGGACAGTGGCAAACCTGCACCACCGCAACTGCAGTCAAGGGCCGCACAGGACTGTCTGTTAGCTAATTTTTCTCTGAGCCTGGACTGTCCACAAGGCCCAGTAGCACTCTGTGAGACTGGCTGGTTTTTCTAATAGCTTCTAATACGTTTGAGATAAATTGTGCCTGGTTGGTAAAGACTTTACTTTTAACATGCTGATACTTTACTTATATTTCATATTTATTAGTTATATCTTTCATTTATCTATCTATATTCATGAGCAAGATTCATCCAGTCTTCCTTCTCTGTGTTGCATTTATCGAGGTTTTGGTATCATGCCAGTAAGAATAAGCTGGGCATGGTGGCCTGTAGTCTCAGCTATTTGAGAGATTGAGGCAGGAGGATGGCTTGAGCCCAGGAGTTCAAGGCTACAGTGAGCTATGATTGCACTTGTGAGTAGGCACTGCACTTTAGCCTGGGCAATATAGCAAGACAATCTCTGGAAAAAAAAAAAGAGTAAACAGCACCCTCCCCTACCCCTAGCTTGTTAGAAATGCAGAATCATGGTGGGCCAACTCCGGACCACTGGAACCAATATCTGCATTTCAACAGGATCCCTGGAAATGCGCATGCATAATACAATTTACAAAGCTGCCCCTGGCCTTGTCATTCCTGAAAACCACTCCTTCCATAATCTCAGTGTCAAGCAACCTAGCTCTCCAACTGGCACCTCCTCCTTTCCGGTGCCCTCCCCCCCTACTGTGTGAGCCCAACAATCCATTGTTCCTCATTTACTGCTTTATGCGGTCTCTCTCCTCCCATTGTCCCACCCCTCCTCACTCCCTCCTTGGCAGGTGTGGATTCAACAGTCCACCATTATTTTGACTTCTTTATAAATACTCTCACCTTCCTTTCCACTTTCTTTCTCTCCATGGAATTGTCTAGCAAAAATAACTCTGGTAGAGTTTAATTCCCCATCTTCCTGTGCCTACACCTTCCCAGTAAAATGTAGCTGTCGAAAAACACAGAATAACCCTGCTGCCTGCTGACTGGTCCTTTATGCCTTCTCCTCTCCCCTCAAACTTCCAACACCCTCTCCACTCTGCACTCTAAGCACATGAATGACTGCTCTTCCTGTTTTCCTGAGAAAACAAAAGCCCTCAGCAGGGACAGCCCATGAGGTCCTGGGACCTCATCTACCTGGCTCCCTGCCTCTCTGCCCGCATTCTATCGGTCCTCCTGATTCCGTGAGAGCACGTCGCCTTGCTTCTATCCAAGGCCAGACCCTGTGCTGTGCTCTGCATCCTTTCCTTCTCCTTTATTCAAGGACGGCTCTCCAGAAAACATACCCCTCATCAAATTCTCCCTCACCCTGAATCATTCCCATCAGCATTTAAGCAGGCTGCTGTAAGCACTCCCATCCTAAAAAACAAAACAAAATTAAAACAGAAAATGTGCTTGGGCCCCACATTCCCCTCCAACTACCACACCGTTTCTCTGCTACTTGGTCAGAAACAAAACTTCATGAAAATATTAATGTTGTCTACACCAGTGGTCTTTCTTTCTAGAGCTTCATTCTTTCTAGAACTCTTTCTAGGTCTCATTCGTTCCAGAAACCACTCCAATCAGGCTTTCCCACCCACCTCTGCACTTACAAAGGCAACGACCAATCACCAATCCTAACTTTACTTGAACTATTAGCTGCATTGGCAGCAGGGACCCATCCTCCTCCCTCAGAGCTGTCCTTCCTCTTCCGGCAGATGATTCTCTTGGGTCTCTTCCTGCCACACTGGCTCCTCCCTGGCAGAATCCTTTGCTGGTTCCTTGTCATTCCCGCACCTCTTAAAAGTTGGGGGACTTGGGCTCAGTCCTTGGCCTTCCTCTTTATAACACTCACTCCCTACAGGATCTCACTGAGTCCTGAGGTTTTACTTCGAGCACTGCCAAAACTCTGTCTCCATCCTGGATCTCTCTCCTGAACTACAGAATTCTATGTCCAACTTCCAACTTGGGTGTCCAATAGGAAGCTCAAACTTTATATGCCCTCGAATGAATTCCCAAGTTCCTCCCTTCACATCTGTTTCTGTTTGTCTTCCCCGTGTCACCAAATTGTATCCTACAGTTGCTTGAGGAAAAAAAACAAAATAGAAATCAGCAAAATCCTGTCACCTCGGCCTTTTCGATGTGTTTAGAAGTGATCACTTCTTTATTCCTCCACTGCTACCACCCGGGACAAAGCCCCATCTTCTCTTGGCTGGATTATTTCAGCAGCCTTCTGACTGATCTCCCTGCTGAAACTCTCCAGCCCTGCAGTCTGGTCTTCACACCACAGCTGCAGGGATCCTTTCGAAATGTCAGCCCACATCCCTTCTCTGCTCACAACCCTGCAAATCACTTCCCATCTCATTTCGAGTGAAAACCAAAGTCCTCACTTTGGTCTGCAGGCCCCCACTTTCTCCTGTTCTCCCTTGGCGCTCTGAGCCAGCACATTCCTGCCTCAGGGCCTTGGTGCTGCTGTTCCTCTGCCTTTCCACACACAAAGCTCACAGGCCCTCAGTTTCTCCAGGGGACTATTCCCTGCAGGGCCACTGCGAGTAACGACCCTCTCCCCTCCTCACCCAGTGCTGTTTTTCTCCACAACACTTAACATCGTCCGATATTATATGTGTTGGTTTGTTTACTGTTTGTCTCAGGAGCAGGGACTGTTTAGTTCACTGCCCCACAGCCTAGAATAGTGCCTGGGTGCTCAAATATACTCACTAATTACACGTGAAAAACAAAGAAAGAAAAATACTCATATATGGCATCTTTATGTGCCAGGCTCTGTTGTCAGAACTTTGCAATGCATTATCTCGTTCACCCTCATAAGCCTGTGGCAGGTATTATCGTATGTATGTATACATACATACATACATATTGTGTGACGAATCCCAGGCACAGGGATGCGAAACTGCCCATGGATACCGAATAGTGGAGCTGGGATTTAAATCTAGGCTGTGGATTCCCATTAATCTGGAACATTCCGTTACCGGCTACGCTCTTTCAGGAGATGCTAAAACGAGGTGATCGGCTCCTCTCAAGTAGGAAAGAATTGGTGGGCACAACGTCGGCTCCTGGCCTTTCGCAAAATAGTGCTTGTTAAAACTTGAGGAAGTGCTCGTTAAAAGCGGGCATGAGACTCCTTCAGGAAAAGTGCTCAGACCCATGAGAAGGGGTTGAGCACTAACATCTAAAGTGGCCCAGGAAAGAAGAGGAACTCCGGCCTGGCTTCCGCTTTTCCCTGCGGCCCCTCCCCGCCGGCCTCGCGCGGACTACAGGCGCCCCCCCGCCCCCCGAGTCCGCCGGGCCGCCGGGGGGCGCGCGAGACCGAAGGGGGGCGTTGCGGCGCCGCCCGACGTCGCGCCCTCAGCGGCTGCGCAGTGCGCACGTCAAAGCCGGGCACGGGCCGGGAACAGGGCGCGGGGATCCGGGAGCGGCGCGGCCTGGGAGACACAGAGCTTTCCGGAGCCGGGGCGAGGGCGAAGGCGAAAGCGGCGCCGGGTCCCGCAGCAGCAGCCGCAGCCCGAGCGAGCGCAGCAGCTCGGCGGCCGCCGCGGGAGCCCCTGGGCTGCCGTCCGCCCGCGCAGCCGCCGCCGCTGCGGGAGCCCGTCGCCGGGAGCTGGAGCGGGCGGAAGACAACGGAGGGGCCGAGTACCCGAGCCGCGCCGCGGGGACCAAGCGAGCAGCCCGAGGCGGCGGCGGCGGCGGCGGCTGAGGACGGGGACGGCGACGACGCGGAGAGGGAGCCGCCCGGCCCAGCCCCGTGAGTGACCCCCACGGCCCGGCCCTGCTCGCGGCGCGGACGCCCGCTTGGCTTCCGCCTGCCCCGCTGGGCCCGTCACCGGCCCCGGGGCTGCCTCCATTTTCTCTGCTGGCGGCGTTGGCCCCGACCCGCTCAGCCCCGGAGTCGGCGGGAGCAGCTGGGCCCGGCCTTCCTTCTTCGTCCGACTCGGGCCCCTCACTGAGCCCTTCTCTTTTGCCTTCGCTGGCGCTGGGCGCCCCGAGGCCTGCGGACCAGCCCTGTCCTGCCACCCGCTCTGTGGTTCCCTGGCGGGGCTGGCGGCGTGGGGCGTCTCCGGCCGGAGTCGGGAGGGCAGGGAAGTGCGAGCCGGGCCAGCTGTCACTCCCATTGCACCCAGGTCTCCGAGCACCTCGCTTCCAGCCGCTGGTAAACTTCCTGTTATCAGGTGGCAGATAGCATCTTTGTGATCATCTTTTCGGGAAAATGCCTAACTGATTTCTGGTTAGGAATTACGCGGTCGGTGCGTTCCTGAGTTCGGTTGAACCAACTTGAACGCTCACTGCGTGCAGGCGCCGTAGTCGGTCCGCGCCGGAGGGATTCAAAGGTGAACTGGGCCCCACGGTCCCCTCCCCCGAGGAGCTTAGGCTCTGGTGTGGGAGATAAGACGAGTACACAAATAACCACGATACCAGGAAGGAGGAGATAAGTCCTGTGAAAGAACGACAGAGTGTTAGAAAGGCAACCGGGAAGACCGGGCCGATCGATCCTTTCTGCCTAGCAGAAATCTGGAAGGCTTCCTGGGCGAGGCTGTGCCAAGCAGGGTCTTAAAGGAATGATGGGATTCGATATAGGAGGGTTGCAGAAGGGACAGTGTGTGGAGGGGCAGCAAAGCTAGAGGACGAAGGTAAAAAGGTATAGCCTAGAAACTGTGGATAATTCAGTTTGCTGCCTAGGGCCATGGTGGGGTTTAAAGAGATGTTTTGGGGCCAGATCCTTGAATGCTGTAGAGGAGCTGTTTGAGCGGCATTCTAAGGGAAACTTAGAGCTCATTTTTCAGTGACTCATGAGCCCGGAAGTGTAGGCTAGGCGATATTAAAGGCACTCTTGTGAAAGAAAGGAGAGAAGGAGGCCCAGTCGGGAGTTGACATTCTGTGTCTTGAAAATAATGCCGTTTGAGATCGGTTTTGACAGCTTCCTGGATATTCAAGTAAATCCATGTCCAGGCAAAGCAAAGTACCTTTTGCAAAAAGCTTCATTATGTATCAGGCTCTGAAGAGATAATGGAAAGGTGTATATAAAATAAGCTCATCTGTTACACATAAGGCGTTTATGTTGGTTCAATCACTAAAATGCATCAAAACTTGCACTGTTTATTAGGTGCCTACACTTTGGAATTACTTAAATTAAACCTAAATTACTTATATGAGATGGCATTTGTGTGAAATAACATAAATTGATTATTTAAAAAATTCAGATTGTTACTAATATTCTGATTATAGAAAGTTGGACATAGACCTTTTTATAGAAAGGTAAAAATTTATTAGTTTTTAGTTATGAAAATCTTTATAGGAGAGCCAGAAGTGAAAGTTTTTAGCTTAATTTGCTAGTTTTTTCAAATTACTAACAAATAATTACTAGCCATGTTTGAAGTCTAGAATATATGATCTGTGAAAGCAGCTTAGAAGCTATGTTAGTTTTGTAAGCACTTTTTTGTTTTTATTGGATATATGACAAGTGAATGCCAACTTTTTTCAGTTTTAAAAATTTCTGTTTATTGAAGTAATTAATACATGATCTTTGTAAAAACCTTGTAAAATGCACGAAATACCGGAAAATTTTTAAAACATTCTCTTTTGTAATCTTGTCACTTAGATTTGGTTCCTGTTAACATTTTTGCATATTTACGTTCCAAGCTTTTAGTTGTTGTTCCCACCCAGCCCCTACCTTCCAGTCTGTGCATTTTTCTTTACTTAATGAAATATACTGTGTGCTTATATGCACACACGTATCTTTTATTAAACTTTTCTTGTCATTAAATATCTTCATATAAAAATATTTTTACCCGTGCAAGGGAAGTCTTCTTAAATGTATTGTTTTTTCTAACAAGTTTGCATTATTTACCTCAGATCAAATGCAGTAGTCATGCTTAATAACTACTACTGTGGACAGAACTCTTTTTAAAGAGTTCTTGTTTGAAGTATATTTATTAATTGCTCTGTAGGACTTGGATCCTGTTCCTTGTTGAATAAAATGTTTATTACTTGACAAGATGCATGTTGTCATGAGGTATGGATGAGAGCACACAGATCTCTGCTATGTGAGCGAATGGACTTTTAAAGGGACACTCTGAAAAGATTGCTTTCTTGGCTGGAATACTATCTCCCATACACTGATGCAACGCCTCTTCTCAGCCCCCACTTCACTCCTAAAAACTTTATAGGGCTATCCTTGTAGATTAACTACTTTTTGATCATGACATCACAAAGATTCAGGCTGGATGTAAGTGCAGAATTTGTCATGAAGTGATTTACTACTGTAACAAAG